CTTTGAAGAGCTGGTTATGCTCTCAGTTACATTCTTGTAAATTAGCAATAATAAATAACCTAAAGAGGCAAAGCTGCATCAGCATTCAAATGGGGAGAGGTAAGATTATGAACAAACAAGTTCAGGAAACAACCAGATTTATCAGTAACTCTTTTTTGTGCACCACCAAAAAAAAAAGCAACAACAAAACAATGTTTCAAAACCTACACCAGGCAGAACATAACATTGTTGGCTGCAGAATTTCCGTCTGTGACAAAACGTCTCCCAGCACAGAGTTAAGGAAGCCAGATCATGATGCCTATCTGTGCAACCTGGTCTAGGAAGCCTATTTTGGCAGCAGGTTGGACTAGATGATCTCTAGAGCTCCCTTCCAGCCCCTACAAATTCTGTGATTCTGTGACATTAAACCAAGATCTTCCAGAACAGTGAGCACGATGCTACAGGATCACCGCCTCAATACAAACGTAGCACTACCTGATGACAGTCATGTAATCTTCCACATATTATAATCTTCTCTGCTCTACTTCAGTACAGGAATCTCTATGAATTAGAACATTCTATCCATATACACGTAAAAACCATGGTTATGTTTTGACTTACTGTGTTAGCATGGACAAATTTGAGCATTCTGGACATCAATTTACCTATCTGATAAAAACAAATTATAGTAGCTTTTACTCCTAAGTCTTTAGAATGGCTAGTCTCAGATGGAAGTTGTGTAGCTATTTGATGTCTGTTAAATACAGTTTTCTTCCAAGTACTGTAGAAATTATAATGTCTTGTGTAACTAGTGAAGTAGCATAGATTCATAAATTATACAGACAGAAGGAAATCCCCTAAACATACCAGGAAGTGCATAAAATATGCATCACAATACTACAAATTGAAATTTCTCCTTCCAAGAGGGAGCTGCATTACTAAGTTCATTGATAGTTGAACTGACACATGAAGCCTCCTATCTCTTCTTGAAAATGTATTTTTATTACCATTAAAAATTTTTGAAAAGATTATTTAAAAGCAATGAGAAGGTTACAAATGCACTACGTATATTTATAAATGTCAAGGAAGCTGAAAAGTCTATAAGATGTCCTAGCATTTCACCGAATCAAACCTTTGGGAGAGGAATAGCTGAATTAGCTTGAAAAGGTATCCATTCAAAATGCTTGTTCTTCCTTTCTTACTGGTATATCTTAAGAGAACTTCATAAGGTTATCATCATTTGCTCCCCTTGCCAAAGATAGCATATCTCATATAGGCACTTTTAAGCTAATTTAAAATAAACTCAGGCATTTGTTTCCCCTTGCCCTTGTTTCCATGTCAACAGCACTTAATGAATGCATCATTCCAGGAAATGTCAATAAGGAACAAAGAATGAACAAGTACTGAAAACTTCACACATGGTATACATCCTTCACAATCATATCACTTTAATGAAAATAGGTGAGGTCACCTGCAGCATTAGCAAATGCTTTGTAATACATTCTGACCCAGATGATTTTTCACAGTTCAGTAACACCCTGTTTGAAGTTTTCACAGCAAACAATACACCCACAGGACTGACCAAGTGCGGGTACAAGAGAAGCAACCAGCAATTACTGTGTTGACTTCTGTTACTTTGATCTCCAGGTCATGACCTGTGCTTTCACCCAGTCTTCAAAGTAGAGATTGTAGAATAGGTTATTTTAGAACATGTACTGTTTCGTAAGTGGTTTTTCTGCGTATTTGTTGCTTCCCGTTTAAGGCAAAAGATTTTCAGTCTTTCCTATTGCCACTGTATTTTCTGATTCTAATTCCAGCAGTGAGGAGAAATTCCTGAAATTTTCTTTTACTCTCAACCCCAAGATAAACTTTCTCAAAATATCATCTCTCAAAACTGGAAAGCTTAAAAAAATACAAATAAAATTAAAAAAAAAAATAAATAGAAGTCATAGCACAATATTTTCTTACAGAAATAAATTAAAGCACTTTTATAATAGTGGAAAAACAAACAAACAAACAACCACCCAATACTTTTAAAAAGGAACCAAACAAGTTTGGTTATAAAAATATCACTGAATGAAGCTTTCCATTTTCTTTCCTTCTCCAAGAAAAATTTCATTAACAAACAGAAATGTCATCAATTTATTCTCCTACACATTTGAAGGTAAGGAGAAATAACAGGGCATGGAAAACAAAACAAAACATTTTACTGTTTCTATTATTTTTACCAAAAAATAACCTACTCAAATGCTAGTATGTTTCTGAGAAAAAAAGCAATCGTTTTGAAAGAAAGTCACAGTGTTTTTGGATAAAACCTATTTGCAATGAAAAAACAAAACAAAAGACAAGCTATAGCACTGAACTGCTCATTGAAATGGTGAATTACTTGATGATCCAGATCTTTACACCTCAATTAAAAAAAAAAAAACATAGTTACATATATTCCTTTTATTTCTGCTGCGAATTTATTTGTAAATTAATGAAGTTTTAAAAACTTAATTTTGCACAATTTTTTTACAGTTGAAATTTTTTAGGTTTTATAGGACTTTTCAGTTTGCTGGAATGTGAAGATTAAGTAAAGCTTTGATTTCCAGCACCTTTCTCATTCTGCTTGAGGAATTAAACAGCCTGAACTCTAATTGAACTCAGTAGGAATGAAATTAAAGCTCAATGAAAAATGAAGCTGTGGTTCCAGTGGTCACTGCAAAAAAGAGTCAAAGTATTTAATAAAATGTTTATTTCATTGATGTTCACTGAAATACACTGTTTTGATGTTTTCAATGTGACAAAATTTCTCTAAAAGCTTAAAAAAAAAGTTACTTCAGAACCTGAAAAAAATGCCTAAGCTAACCATTACAATTATTTGCTTTTAAGATTAGTAGCAATACATCTATTCTGTAGAGTTAAAGTTGTATGTTTTGGGAAAGAAAGAAAATGTCTAAATTTCTGCAGAACACGTATTAAAAACTGAATAACTAGTAGACTTCTTTTAATCAGTTTCATCATTATTCATTATGTAAATATACTGCTGTAAAGACAATTTATATATATATGCACACCCACATTATATGCATACAGAATGAGTATTTATATATGTGTGTACACACATACCTAAACATTTTTGTTTGTTTGCCTTTGAATGTAATGCTGTCTTGCAAATACAAGTTATATAATGTAACAAAATCATGGAAAATTTTCAGGAAGCTTTAATTACAGCAGCAGAACCATAAATCATTCAACAAATTGGAAGTCCATTTGTCTTTCTTGAACAAGCTTTAATTAACACAGTTTACATGGAAAAAATACCCAAGTTTTTGAAAAGTTGAGAGGAAAGAAAATGGAGGCAATGTTGCGGTTTCAAGCAGATGCATAAATGCAATCATTTCACACTTTTGACATGGTGGTTTGCCATGATGTGACCTACAACTACCTTGACCTCCCTGAAATCAACATTTTGCATTGAAATGAAACAACAGACATGCTTGTTTTGATGTATGGCTGCATGACATTTTATAAATATTACATCACATAACCACAGAGGATGTCAATCAATAAAGAATTTTTTCAGACAGCACTAAATGAACCATAGGTTCTTGCCTCTGAATGGCTCCTTTAAGGTACTATTTTTGCTTAAATGATTAATAGGAGACATTGTCAGAAAACATACTTAAAGTGAAAAACAGTAAACCGAAGAAATATCATTCATTTTTAAGCAATTCTCCACTGCAAATGTCACATAAATTTATACAGAGACAGCATTGTTAGACTCCTGTAAGCTGGATAGTAGACATATCTTCCACATAAATGCAAAAGCAATGGGAAAATATTTTATTAAATTTTAGCTGCTCTACTTGTTGAAAACTAAAATACTCTAGATATGTTAGATTCAAAAGTAGACTTGTTAGGAGGTAAAAATCTTTAGATTAACGATAACCAAGAAATCCTTTTCAAAAATGTGGAACAAAGTAAACAAATGTATCTGCACCCAGAAAAGTTCTGCTGCTGTTTTAATCTACAGTATTTATGAGCAACAAGCTGCTGTATCCAATTCATGCAGCTTCCTAATAAATCCACTTTTGGTCTCCTCCACTTTGTGCTGTTTTCATACTAGCTCCTACAGAATACTTTGGATTACATGAAGATATTTTCAGGAGTTTTGTAACTCTGAATATTCCAAGTTATCTGCTAACAAGAAGTGAGCTCGGTCTCTAAGGTCGTCAGCGCACTGACCAGTACCGCTTGGCTGCAACTTGCCTCACAGAGAGCCGTTTTCAGCTCAAGTGCAAGTACACAGAGACTGGAAGCTTGAATCAGATGTGAACAAGAAGAAATTATTTGTAATAATAATAATCAATGTCTTACTTGACTAACAATTACAGCTATGAAAAGTTGTCACTTCAGCAGAAATTCCGTAAGCTTTGGACCTATACTCACAACCACTTTATGTGCAATCTAGCTCATTAAAATTACATTATAGAGATGGCTTGCCTATTTGATTTGATTCTAAAAACCAACAGTTCTCAGTAAAGAACCACAATACAGTAGTCCTTTCTTCTGTGTTCTTTAATAGTGTCTTGATACCTCTAATAGAATAAATGCCTCACCATAATCAGACATTTACAGGAGACAATGAGACTGGCTTAGTACAGCAACTTTTTTTAATATTTTTTATTCTTAGCTGTTACCACTAGTATATATAACTGTTGCCTTACCTTGGCCTTAAAGAAGGAGGGGACATAGGCAAATACATACGAGCATCCTTATTCAGGAAAGCCTGTGTAAACCTGCTCAGCTAAATCTGAACATCACTGAAATAGCTCCCAAAATATTTTCTAAGAGGGATCGCACTGAAATTGGGTTACTCAAATTCATAGGTGTTTCATGGCAGAACATGGCACACTGTCTTCAGAAGAGAGAGAGTAAATGGTTTGTTCAGGACTATGAGTTGGATTTAGTTCAGTATTTCTTCAGTATTAAAAACAAAGCTGACATACTTTATATATATAATTGAAGACACTAACCTGTACCTCTGGTAGTCATCTTCATCCTTTTCTTTGCAGACCAATTCATTTGGGCAGGCCACATTTCCAAGCAAACTGAGATACTGCAGTGAGGGCACAACTTCAGCCAAATGATCCAAAAGGCTTTCTAATTCTGTTATGTGTCAAAGGTTGTGTGTTAAGGATTCGATGACATGTCTGAGGAAAAGCATTTAGAGTTGCATCACTGCTGATTTAAACATACATTTCAATAACTGACAATCAAATTTAGTATGGCATTCGGGGAAATGTCACATTAATTGTTCCAAGGGCAAACAGGGATAAACTTTAGTCAGTTTGTTGGCATGGAATGAAAGAATTTGGCTGTTTTGTCAGTCTGTTCTTTCCTAGGTGGTTCACTACAGAACATTAAAACTTTGACAAAATGATGGATGCTGTGTGGTAAAATGGCTAGCAATTGCTATTGCCATGAAACTTTTCCAGCATGGAAACAAACAGTTTCACAGAACATTCATCACTAATATATTTAGTCCACTGGAAAACGAGGTTTTGTTTTTTTTTAAGTCAAACCACAACAATCCACTTTTACTCTCAGAATATAAATACTTTTAGTGCCATGGCAACACATTTTTAATTACTCAATTAGTACATGCAAATAAATGATTCTATAAAAGCAACTTAAAGAATTCAATATGTATTTTATACGTGAAGTTTTGAAGTCCATAAAGCATATCTTTAATTAAAATAGCCTTATACTTTGTGTTATGAGACATTTCAACTTAAGTGTGTTCCTCAGAACATAAATGATGACACATCTTTGACATTGTAAAATGTATTAAAACAAACAAACAAGCAGAAATTAATCTTTCAACCACTGCAATATTGGACATCACTGCTTAGGTTTAAGCATAACAATATTCAACTATACTGAAATATACTGATTGAACAACTACAGTAAATTTTTGTCGAAGTGCAGTCTCAGAGAATCACACTACACCCTGTTGTTTGGTTCAATTTACATGCAAAACTCGAAATTCTAAAAAAAAGAGGCCATATGTACGTGTGTATGTAGTTTTCGGTGCTTAAAACCTGACTGGTTTAGACAATAGTAGTAATTATTCAAAACCATTAAGGGTATTTCACTGTTCTGTTTTTATCTACTCCTGCTGTTACAGACCACAACTATTATTTTAAATTCTCAGTTCACTTGTGTTGCTATTATTTATACTTGATTTATGTGTTTCTGTTATCTTTGTTATTTTTAGGTGATGGAATTTACTTTATTTCTTCACCTCAATATCTTAAGGGCAACAGAAGCAATACAGAATGAAAAGAGCAGCTTCACTGTTAAAAACATTGTCTTCTTTCTGTTCTGAAATTTCATTTTATTTCCAAACATAAGATCATGTCGACAATTATTAATTTTAGCATATTAAAAAACAGCAGTTATACTCAAAGCTAATGTTCTCTACCAAAATATCTGAGAAAATTACACTTAAATATTTTGCATGAGTGAGAAAAATTCAAGTTTTGAATTAGATATGTGACTATGGAATGCTACAGCCATCAAATCATTAACTAGACCATAAGAAAAACTGAATCACGAAGCATCACACAATATATAATATGTGGCATCTTAGCCACAATAAAGACAAAATTCTCATCTTCATTTCTAGACCTCTAGACCACACATAAACTTTTAAAACAAATTATTTTCATGACTTTTTCGGGAAGGACACAAATTTGATGGGAAGGCCATGGAATTGTAGACTCATTTGCAAGCTGGAAGGTTGGAAGACCTTTAGTGGTCATTTAGCTTAACTCCCCTTCAATGAACAGGGATACCTACAGCTTGATGAGGTTGCTCATGACCCTGTCCAGCCTGACCTTGAGTGTCTCCAAGGATGGGGCACCCACCACCTCTCTGGGCAAACTGTTCCACTGCTTTACCACCTCTACTGTAATAAACATTTTTCTTCTAATCAATTCTAAGTCTTCTCTCCTTTAGTCTGAAACTGTTTCCCCTTGTCCTGTCATAACAGACCCTGCTGAAGAGTCTGCCCCCTTCTCTCTTATAGCCCCTCCTTTAGATACTGAAAGGTTGCTATCGGGTCTCCTGGAGCTTTTCCTTCACCAGGCTGAATAGCCCCAGCTTTTTTAGCCTGACCTTGTAGAGGAGGTGCTCCATCCCCTGCATCATTTTTGTAGCCCTTCTCTGGATGTGCTCCAACATGTCCATGTACAGAACACCCCACATCTGGATGCACTACTCCAGGTGAGGTCTCACCAGCACAGAGTAAAGGGGCAGGATTACCTCCCTCGCCCTGGTGGAATGTCACAAACTCTTTTTCCGCACATATTCTACTAATAAGATTTTTTTTAATTTTCTATTAGACTATTAGAGGAGTGCTTGCATCTAGCACTTTCAGCCAGGAGAAAGAATTTCTTTCAGGACTGATTAAATTGCACAAAGGTTTCATTAGATAAGTAATTTATTATTACAAAAAGCAGAAAAGCAGTTATTTCAATTACAGCAATGACACACAGGGGGTTAGCTGTTGCAAAACTTACATCTTATCTGTCCATTCCCTATTTAAAAAGAAAAAAAAAGAAAATAAACTTTTTTGACTCTTATATGAAGTAAAAATTTAGGATTTTTAGTTGAAATTCTTTTTTTTTTTTTTTCTTTTTCTGGGTTAGAATTTTTTCTCCCCAAAGTTAGTGATTATTGATTAAGACAGATGTCTTCTAACTCCCATTTGACCACACAGAGTTAGAGGAAAATATTAAAATACTTTTGGATATTTAATATATGACAACTTAGATTAATACCACAAATCCTAGTCCTACAGAAAGCAAAGGGGAGACATACCATACTCACTAAGGCTCTTGGTTAAATAGTAGTTGATAACCTGCGTCTCAAATACATAAATCTACCTCAAAGATGGAAATTAGTGCCTAGATTCTAATATTTCACATCCAAATCACATTGCTTTTTGGTACAGAAACTCTCTCATAAAAATTCTCTCAAGAAAGCATGACAAGCAGCACACATCAACATCTTACCATGTAGCTGTTGCCCTCCAGACATTTTCTTTCTTATCATTTACTCATTTTCCTCTGTAGAATTAGATACTTAGCACCCTAGCATTATTTTGATTTCAGTTGCAACAGGAGCAGAAACATGAGAAAACCCAAGAATCAGACATAATCACTCGAAACATAGAAGGTCACTAATTCATGTAAAAGATGAACATTTGCAAACTTGGAACAGCTCCAAAATCACAGAATAATAGGAACACTGGTCCACCAATCAACCTGCAGGTTGTGATAGTCAACTTTTAGTTGCCAGAATAGGACATCATATCACAACTAAAATAATTGCACTGCAGTTCATTAATTAAAACTTCTGTTATGTAGGATTTCAACTCTTTTTCCATCCCCCTTTTTTTTTAAAAAAAAAAAAAAAGCAAATGAAGGTACAGAATATTTTCCCAAGAAGTTCCGTTTACCTGCCATCACAGTTACTCCTCACAAAGCAGGTAGGAGAAAAAATAAATTAAGCTTTGTTCAGATTTTCATGACTTAGTATTTTTCAGAGATGAGACATAAGTCATAGAGTACTTCTAGTGCAGTATTTAGTTAATTAGAAGGTCATATATTTGTTTTCTTTTAAAAATAGTGGAAGGCCAGCAAAACTATAAAGTGTTTCTAAAACAGTGTTAAATATACAGAGGAAGAAAATCAGAAGCAAGTTGGAAATTTAATTTTCTTTTTCCTGTTCATGATTCACTGTTGCCATCTTGATGCAACCAGAGCCAAAGAACTGCAAAACTCTGTTGTGTAATTGCTAAGGTCAACCTCATCTATATTCTTTCCAAAAATGAAAGCCACAATAAAATCCATGTACACTGCAAGGGAAATTTTCTTTATTTAAAGTTCAATGACATAAACCCTGAATTCATTTTTCTGAAGGCAGTATCACTGATCACCAAGTAAATACGTAGCAGTGATCAAAATATTTATACTGTAGTCTCTATTGTTTGAAAAATGTTCAAAATTGTCTGTTAAAATAATTAAAATGTCTTAGCATACCACCTTCATTCAAGTGTTGTCATTACTGGTCTATTAACGCCTTTCTTTCCGAATAACAGTGACCAAAATAAAAATGTGTAACTTTTTTTTTTTCTTTTTCTTCTAAACTTGCCTACCCTTTAGATAACAAGTTAATTCTTAGCAATAATACAGTATTGATCCCCTCCAAAAACACAGCCTGGCCTCCAACAATTAACATAAATCTATTAAATGTATTTTAAATTTCCATCCTCATCAGAAGATTATGATTTCTTGCACTGTTTTCAGTTTTATATTAGGAAAATACTTAAAGAGAACTGGTTCTTCCATACTCCGATGAACTTTTTAAAGCCTCCTAATTATTTTACATGTATGCACACATACATGCTTGTATATTTATAGTAGGCAGCTCACAACAAACATATGCACAAGCACACACAATTGATCAGCTTATTTTCTTTTAAAAAAATAAGCTACAGTAGCACCAAAACATTATCAATAGCATTACTTGAAAAACCTAGTTGGCCCAGTTAACCTATAGTTAACCTGCTAAGCAATATAATAAAACTCTAGGTGCAAATTTTATGCAACCAAAAATGTCCTACAAATAAGCACGATCTGTGTTTTTCACTTTCACTGGCTTCTACTCAATAACATAGTTTTTGAGGTTTTCCAGAAAGCAAAAAGAGCAAGCCAAATGTTCAAGGCAAATGATGCACCTCCCTTCTCTGGCTAAGAATTAACTTGGTTTGCAACTGTCTAACTGTTATAAGAATTCAACATCATCATCAGAAATGATGCTGAACATCCCCCGTACTCCATACTATTTTCTCTCTTACTCTCTTATTTTTGGTTCATAAAATTGCTTTTTCAGCAGTTTTGCAAAATATGAGCAATGTGACTTGCTGGTCAAACCTCTGGTAACAAACAATTTTTGGTAGCAGTTTCTACATTAAATTATTCTATATAAGTGCATTAAAATGCTGTTCTACATAGACCTGTGCAAACAAACTAACCAATATGAATTTCACATCTCACCACCTGGTTTTCTTTTCCATGAATATAGGTCAAAGTTCGTTAAGGAAACTGCAATTTTTTTCTGTAAACTTTTTTTTACTGCTAGCATATTTTTTTTTGACAGTCACACACTCAAATTAATTGACTTTCTATGGAAACTAATAACTCTCTCACTCTCAATGCTTTGCAAGTTGTACAGCTAATTTCTTTCAAAAAGCTTGTAGTTTGCCTTGCCAATTTTTTTGCCCAGACAGTTGAGGAAAAGCTATCTGCATTCATGACTTTCTGTGATTACAGCTTTCAGAAGTTCTTGGAAGCAAAGAGACAAAGCAAAGAGCAATCACTTTTATATTCAAAATATTTATGAAATGTTTACTTAGAGAATATTAGAAATATCACATAAAGTTTTAGCCCACCATACAGAAGGACCAAAAACTGTCACTCAGAAGTCTTTTGTCAACCATGTCATGTAGGTTCTGTAATCAATATGAAACTGAAAGAGCTGGATAGCCCTTCTACCAGAGTCTTAAACAAGCAAGTTACCTGTATTTTTTCAAATTTGTAACATCTTTTGCTTTAATTAACTTTATCACAAATATGTTGCAGCAATTACAAGTGATTCTACAGGCAAACAGCCTTGAAGCAGAAGTTACCAATTCTCCTCTGAATGCAGTATGAAAAGATCTTTGCCACCTGAATGCTTTTCCATTAGAATGTGCTAGGTCTTCATGGTTGGATAACCACAGAAATAGCTTGCATTATGCAAGTCTTCCTCTTCTGCAATAGGATGCCACATACAGTCATTTGTACGCCACATTCTAGCTTAAGCCCTGTCTGATAGGCAGTCAGGGCCCTGAAATAGGGTCTTGCTCACTGATTTTAAAACCACCTCGCTCAAGAAAGAAAAGTTGCAACACAAGTGGTAATTAACTAAGTCCATACATCTTATGGTGAGCTTCCCATTTGCTGAATACTGAGGATATTCTGTCTAGTGAAGTAGCATTAGATTTCTTTGCATAACTGGAGTTTCCAGGGAATTCGAACGTCTTTCCGCAAGGCCAGGGTTCCCAGGCAGGAAGTTTTAAGAGCATATTTCAATGTCATTAGGTATACAATTAGAGGCATTTAGATAGCACTGTCAATATTAGATTCTAACTATTGATTATCCCCATTGCTGTCACACACTTAGGCTAGATATCTGTGATGTTCCCTTCCAGCTGAACTATTCTATTCTAAGTTGAGAACAAGTCAGAAAGCTTCCATTTCTACAAGCAAATTATTTTTCTGGTTCTCTAGAGTGATCCATCAATCCAAAAAACATATATCATGCACTTCAAAGATTTTCTTTTAACACTGTTTCTTCCAGTTGTTCAAGATTCCCAAGAAAATACAAAGATAATTAAAAAAAATGCAGTGGCTCATCATTTTTAGAAGTTCTGACAACTGGAGTCAAATTTGTCCATTACTGCTCTAGAACAGGAGAATGAATTGCCTGTACTACCTCCTTTTGCAGACATTTAGCATCATACATTCACATTGCTTACTTTTTGGTACATTGTGTAAGAAAAAAGGTGGTCTTGAGGGTGGTGAAGAGTGAAAAAAAAAAAAAGGCTCAAGATCAAGTAAATTCAAAACATTTTGCAGAATTCATTGGGGTTTTTGTTTCATCAGGTACTGTAGTTCTCTAGCTACACACTCAAATTTAGCCATATTTGTCAGTGTCACATAGAGAGTTCTCAGGACCAAATGCAGGAATACTGCTGTATTGTTTCAGCTCATATCTTTGTTTAGTGGAGGTTAAGATCTATAGATAATGTCTTTAATGTATTCACTCAATGTAAACATCAAGTCCTCTGCACTTAACACAATGGGATTTTGGTCACAGATTGGGACTTCTAGGTCTTCAAGCACTTTAGGACAACATAGAAATAAGCACAGGCACAATAATTTATAATCTATGGTTTGGAATTGGGCGTTAGGACAAAAACTTTGTGGAGACAGATGATAATCAGAAATACTTACTGGGACATCCTTTAGTTGAGGTACTCAATCCATGCCATGTTCAAATATTCAGAAACCTATCATCCCTAAATCTGAAGCACGGTTAGCATCTTTGCCATAAGCAATGCATTTATCGTTACTATCATTCTGCCTCAGTTCTGCATTTCCCACTTGCAAAGCATTTTGGTTTTTCTCTCAGGCATGATCAATCCACAGCCCAGCACAGATCACAGTGCAGCCACCCCCTGCTCAGCACCATCATGGAGATTCTTCCCGCCAAATGGCCCCACTCAGTCCTTCAGCACTAACCAAATACTGGTGTGTTATTAACCCCATCTAGACTGAAATCAGGGCATGGGGTGTAATGCAGAGCAAGCTTAAGTTATGGCAAATAAGTTTATAGCTTTTAATACATTGGCTAAACAGTCCTGTGAACACAGATAAATGTGCAGCTGTGCTTTCCACTGTGATTCTGGAATTTGAGAATAGTTTCAAGATTGACCATTGTGGTTCTTTTTCAACCCAGGCCATTCTATGATTCTTTGGGAAATGACTGTTTACAAGGGTGGATAGTGATAGGACAAAGGGGTATGGTTTTAAACTAAGGCAGGGGAAGTTTAGGTTAGATATTAGGAGGAAGTTTTTCACACAGAAGGTGGTGACACACTAGAATAGGTTGCCCAAGGAGATTGTGGATGCCCCATCCCTGGAAGCATTCAAGGCCAGGTTGGATGTGGTTCTGGGCAGCCTGGCCTGGTGGTTGGCGACCGTGCACATAGCAGGGGGATTGAAACTAGACGATAATTATGGTCTTTTTCAACCCAGGCCATTCTATGACTCTATGATTGCCCAACAATTTCTTAGTTTATTTGCAACTCTACTTTCAGTTGACATAAACATATTGCTTGTGACTTTTCAAATGGAACTGTATAGACTTGCAATAAAAAAGTGATCATATATCTTTACCAGACTTTTATAAGCTCTCTCTTACCAGAGAGAAATATCCTTCTCTTCACAGTCACACCTTATTCATGTCATCGCTTTTTGGCAGTAGTTACGTTTGTGAACAACTGTTTTCAAGGATGAAGTGCAGAAAGAGCAAAATTTCATCAAAGATCACTGATTAACACCTTGAGAGATCATTGAGAATTGCAACCACTGCCATCAAACAAGCACTTCTGCAACTCCTCTCTTAAATTATTGGCAACATACTACAAAATGTATATACGCTGTTTCTATATCATGGGTAGCTCCATACTCCCAAATTTCCAATTTTATAGTTTTAAGACTGAATTTTAAAAATATCTGGATAGGTCAAAACCTGCTTATCATTGTATCACTGACATTGAGTTTACTGACTTGATTTTAAGTCTGACTGTGAAACCCAACAGAACCTCTTAAAAGATTACTGCTAACTAATTTTTTTCCCCCTGATTTGTTCAACTAATTCTTATTTAATATGCATGCCCTCCTTTTGATAATTGCAAAGTTCTTCCTTGACACTTCCTATCCCACATACATGCATGCACACACTCAGGAATCCTACTGCCAAATTCACGCATCCTGCTTTGTAGATGGAAACATGCCGCATCAGACATCCACAGCATCATCAAAAATGTTATTATACATACTTCACCAAAGCATGACCTTTGAACTCAGATTTTACATGTGGCAGCAAATAATAATACCAAACATTTATTCAAAGTGACCAACAACATCCCGGTATTAACCAGAAATCTAGCACTTACCTAGTAAAGTGATGACTCTTATGGTTCATGAGACACTTGACAAATTTCCAGGGCTGAGTATATAAATTGCTCTGGTGACTTTTATTTATTTATAAAGTCAAAAATAAGTGCAGAAATCATAGAACCTGTAGTTATTACTTTGCTCCTCAGTAAGAGGATTTTGCTCCAGTAGGAGGTAAATTGCTCTCTGTTTACACCGTCTGAAACAAAAGCCTGCAGTTGAGCAGCCTTGTCCTCACTCTGCAATTAGAAAGAGAATATTTTCACAGCCTGTGCTCTGTAGGTCTCAGTTGGCCTTTTGGTCAAAATTTGATTGCCCTTCACTTTTGTAAAATCATAAATTACACATCTTCAAATCTCCAGAAGGGTCAAAACATGAGAAATGATTTAATAATCAAGTCCATGTCCAGTCCTTGTAGATAATTAGCTTTTACAGACCATTACATATAAGCCTCCCAATTGGGGTCTCTGACTCACCATAGTATTCAGGCAAATGCTGAAATATTTATGCTGAACAAACTTAAGTAGGCATGCACTAACTTCAGACATACAGAGAAGTGCCTGATTGGTTGTAAATTGACTTAACCATGCATCGAAATATTTAAATATATGATTTGAGGAGCACTTCATATGAATTATACAGAGCCAGAACACCAAGAATATAGCAACTCGATTTAACTGCTGCAGTTACGAAAATGTGCCTAATACCAACTTCATTTTTGATTGCTTTTTCATTTCTTTTTATATTATTATTATTATTATTATTATTATTATTATTATTATTATTATTATTTACTTTGAAGAGCTACTGAGGTATATAAAAACTGAGTATCATTTCATTGCTCCCTCTATTCCACTAGAGGTCAGTCTGCAACAGAACCCCAAGCAAACACAAGAACTGCAGCACACCAGTAGCACTGACATTATTTTCTTTCTCTATTTTATCTATTAAAAAAGATTTCTTCAGAGCCATAACTTAGATCTCTCACTAAAATGGAGCAACAGGAAGATATAATGGTGCATTTCATTTATGAATGACCTATAATAAATTACTATGAAGTATTCCAGGTGCCAAGCGAGAGAATGCTTTGTCTGCACATGAACTATATTTCACATACTTTAATTTGGCTGACACATAAAACTCATTTGACATTTTGCAGGTATTTCTTTGAAAGGATATTTGGTTCTTGTTGAGCGTTAAGGTGTGGAGGTGGGGTAACCTGGGTAGCAGAAGGTCATTTCCGAGTAGATTGTTGTCCAAGATCAGCTCTTCCAAGTAAGTGAATGTTTTCAGTCCTTCTAGTGACCTGCAAACGACAAAGGCAACAGGAAAAATGATACTCCACTAAATCAGGGAGGCCATTATGAGCTGAAATAAATATTTTAACCTTCCCTTTCAGGAGTGGGAATAGTTTTGGTTTGGGCCTGTCAGAAGAGTGAATGACAAGCATTAGTGGCAAAGGGAGTGCTGGCACTGCAACACATCCTTCACATGCTGGCAGGATGAAGGATGGGGGTCACTTAGTGAGTAGCCAGGATCCAAAACAAAAGGCTTCAGATATGGGGCCTGCAGGATGAATTTGTCAATGTCTTGTGCCTTCAGGCACCCAGCCTCGCCTGACCCTAACCTCCATTCCCAAGATAAATAACTCTGTCACAGTTCACCTTCATTCCCTGGACACAAATTTAAGTTGTCATCCATCATTTCTGCCAAGAAATATCATACCCCACTAACAATAATAAATACAACTTCAAGTATCATTTCTTAGCTGTTACCCTACATGCAATAATAGGAAATGGAAAAACGTTTTTTTTTCTCCTTTTATTAACCACTTAATTTGCTTCTCCTTGAGTCTCTGCAAACAACGTAAAATGTTCTCTACAAAATAAAATGCAGAATTACTCCAGACAGAAAAGGCATTTACTTTCTTCTTGGAACTTTCTGTCCCACTATCAAGCCACAGGTCAGACTGCAGAAAGCAGCTTTAAAAAGGAGCATTTCACAACATGGAAGTGAGATGATGGATTGTAAATAAACAGGATTCTGGAGGTATTCATTCCCCTGATAATACAGTATAGGGAGGAAAAAAAAAAAAACAAAAATCTAAAAGAACACTTAGGTACCTTGTTAAAGCATCTATTCCAAACTCAATTCTTAATGCTTGCACATTCCAGCAAGAAAAAAAAAAACACATATTAATCAAGTAAGAGGCACGGTATACAGATCATAGGCACAGACACATTCACAGCTCATTCACCTACCAGACACCTAAAGATATGTGGAGATTGCAGGACTTGACAGCTGATCTACTATGCCTACCACTGGGAAGATCATCACTGTATCTCTTGGCTGCTTTATAACATGTGATGAATAAGGGAATAAGGTCTATACTATTTATTCACTTTCCAGTGACATTTATACCAAAGGGATTTCCTCACTCTCCCCCAGTTCTTGGCAAAGATCAAAATCCATCTAAGGTCCCTGTTAAAGAGTTCTACAGACACTACAGCTGGAGGAAAATACAAACATTATGTGTTCCTAATTAGACAATGTAGCATTCATCTGTCCAATAATAAAAATAGTATTTTTGTAGATGCAACATCCTGACCACATAAATCACAGAGCATTCAGACAGTGTTTTTTTTTCTTCTTTTTTTCTGGAAAATCAAGTTTGTAACCTTTGAACTATTATACACTAAATTATGAACATTTCAATGACACTTATCACAACACAGGAAAAGTATATTCCAATCTAAGGACTCCAGAGTACTTCAGACCTAGATGACTGGCATTCTGGAAGGGAGTTGCCACTGTTATTAATGCAATTTTGATGCTGGACAGCCAAACCTGAAGAAAATTCACAAAGCCTACCCCCTATGGCATATCTATATGATATATTGAGACTAGTTTCCGAAGCTGCAAGAGCAAAAGCCTCCACTCTAAACACAACAAAACAACCGTCAGAGTAGCAGTCATATTTTTGCACTTGCACTTAGAAAGCTCTTTTGGAAAAGCTCAATTCGGCCTGCATAACCCATCTACAGATGAGAGCTGCTAGACTGAGTAGTTATTTCAGTGAAGGGATCATAACAAACTTTGTTTTGCCAAAGTCAAGATCAGAAGAGAGATCAGTGAACATTTCAGACAGTGCTTTCCCCCAAGTACCTTTAAAAGGCAAAATAATCTAGAGGAAGCAGCTGCGAGTTTATCAAGCTGTTATGAGTTTTTCATTTCAGTTTATTTGACAAACCTAGCTCAGTAAATTCCCTTTAAATAATCTTTATTATATAAATAGCGGATTATTTCCAAATCTCACATTTTAGTGTAAGACTTTGACTTGCCAAAAGAGTTCAGAGAAGGCCACCTCCTTGTCAACACCACAGAGCCTTATGAGATGTTAATAGGTCCTTTGTGAAAAAACATTGTTTGGGCTCTGGTCAGTGTCAGCATCAAAATACACATTGTTCCTGAGTTATGTTATGCAAATATAATACTCTTATCATAAGAATCGGCAAATGGTTGGCAAGGGCAAGGAGAAGAAAGCACATATCCAAAACTGCTGCAGGGAAGGCATAAAACAAAATGACAAGCCATGAAGTGGGACAAAAGGCCCTGAAACACTAGAGGGAGTTGCTTATTGAAACAGCCTTTCTTTCACAAGCCTAGGCTGAATACGAGGGTACTGGTTTCATCAATAGGCAGAGAGAATTGTGCACAAATCTCCTTACACCTGTCTAGTTTTGATAATTTTTGCCATGTAATGTTATTAGCTGTTCAGCTAAAAAGGAGCTGTGTTACACAGAGGGTTGCTTATTAACTGTTGTTTTCATGTCATCGGAGTAGTGTGCACTTGGTGATTTAATCAGCTAAATTCAGACCCCAGAGAGATGAGAGGGGCTGACACAGTACAGAGAGAAGGTGTAAATATTAACATAAATTTACATCCATATTTTAGACCAGTATTCATAGAATTCTGATTTTTGCTTCTTAAACTGATTTTTAAAATTAAAATCCAAGGCAACAACATCTATCATCATAACATATAAGGAAATATTGCCAAGCAGTTGCACTCTGAGATAAAAAAAAAAAATAAAAATGTTGTAAGTACAATCTGTGCAATAAGTTTTAGGTGAGTTGCTGAAATTTCTTCCATAATTTCTACGTGCCTCAATTTCCCATTTGCAGATGGAGGATAACACCACCTACGTAAGAAAGAATTACAGTTGTGACTTAGTACATGGAAAGCATTCAGAGAAGCTGAGGTAGAAGTTAGTAGAAAATACCAGCATTTATCTTAGAGTAAGATAGCTATATTAATGTACCGTATCGTCTTATGACTCCATTATAAAATAGGACACCCATCCACATGGCATAGTAAGAAGCATAGAAACACTGCAAATGAAAAGTATTAAATAAGGGAAATCCCCTGAGAAAAAGAACCAGCCTAAAATTAAATCTGGCCTGCTTTCTCATAGTTCACAGCGGAGGAAATGTCTCCACTTCTTGGCTTATTAAAACAAGCACATGACCCTACCACTACACCAGAACCAGCACTGAAGGGCAGTGGCAAATAGCTGTTTTCCCTAGCTTCAGAAAGCTAATCAGCATCACTAAGGTATACTGCAGGTTGCTTTTCCCTGCTGCAATGACAGAAAATCCACCCATTATCTCACCTACAGGTACCATCTCAGTTACCTCATCACAGGGCTCGCAATGCTCCCAGAGGAGAGCAAGTGCTGCCAAGAGATTTCCATTGCAATTTCCAAAGTCACATCAAACCGACAAAACATCACAACGTATTCAGTGCCACCTCATTCAAACAGAAAAAACTTTAAGTTTCCACTGTAATTAACCCTATCCTCGTTAAGATAATTATGATCAAGCTCCCTGTCACAGCTAATATTGCAGCATCATTGCCTGTGGCTCACGCTCTGCCCTCATTAGCTTACAAAGCCACTGCACTAAACAGGAAAGTGATTCCCTCTGCAAAACGACTTAAGATGTTCTGCAAGCAGACAGTAAATAATCCTTTAGAATACAAAGGTCTCAGAAGTGTCATTTTATCCAAGTCCTTCAACTAATCAGCCTGATTTCTCCCAGCTTTCTTTTCCATAGTTCAATCATGATTTCTCACAAAGTTTTAATCATAAAGGAATGTCACGGCAGGGATTTTTCCCTCTATGTGCATGCATGGCAATTGCCAGCTACAGTACTTTACACAATCCCCCTGGCCCGATGGGATTTGGGTGCAATGAAAATAAAGGGCAGCTCTTCATTTCGGTAATATTTGACAGTGAAAACGTGAAAATGCATAAATGAAAAAAAAGCAGAAGCACCCATGGAGTGATGGACAAACCTTGGTACAATGCTGCTGTTCCTGCCCTGAAGAACTTCAGAAGTACATTCTAAAAAGGTGTTTCTCATATTCTACCTCACTCCAGTTCTAATAAGACAGCTGACTCCTATCTAATGACTTTTTTCTCCTGTTTAACAGGAAAAGTGAAAGCAGTTAACAGTATGTAAATGAGAGAGTTTGGCTTTTGCTTTTAAATTGATTTGTACTCTGTTGACAAGAGATAGCCACTACCAGAAGTTAAAGACAGAGCTGCTATATTACAAGAGCTTTTTAACGTCTTTTTTCTTGCCTTATATGTTTTAACAGGTTACAGGAGAGCAGCATCAACATGAAAACCCTAGTACTAGATAATTTCAGCATTTTAAAAATATACTAATTTCTATTCCTTAGAACCTGCCAGCCAAAAATGACAAAGGCTGTTGGTTTCATATATATACATATATGTGTATGTAATAATAAATAACAGAAAACAGAAAACATTTTTCTTAATTCCTTGAGAATGCAAAATATATATATATATATAAATATAATGTAATTTCAGTTTTACTTGATCTGATTTCTGTTCAAATTTAACTTCCCTTTAAACTGAATCATAACACACA